GACTTTGCAGGCTCAATCAACAAAAGATAAGAAAGGCAGAGGAAATTGGTTCGACAATAAAGGTAAATGTGGCTACAACAACTCGGCTGGTAGAGGAAACCAGTATGAAGAAAACATGTCAAATCAGAGAAGACTATACCAAGGCAACCAAAGAGGTGGTGTTGCTAATAGAGGAAGAGGTGGTGGTAGAAAACCTTACAAGAGTCACATTCAGTGTTTCAATTGTCAGAAGCATGGTCACTATTCTAGTGATTGTCCAGAAAAGCAAAAAAAAATCAAGTGATATAAAGTTCGCAAAGTATGAAGAATAAGAGATGATGTTGATGGTCACAACAAGAGATAAAGAGAAACTCAAGGACCAGCGGTACTTGGATTTAGGATGCTCATCACATATGTATGGAAGGAAAGATTGGTTTGTCAACATAAAACCATCAATGAAGAACATGGTAAAATTCGCAAATGACAATACCCTAGAAGCTGAAGGTATTTGTGATGTTATGATTATGAGGAAAGATGGAAAAAGGTCAATAATTTCTAATGTGTTATACGTACTAGACATGAAGAGCAATTTGCTCAGTATAGGTCAGTTGATCGAAAAAACTATAAAGTTTCAATCAAAGACAAGATGATGAGAGTCGTTGATGCAAGAGAAAAGTTAATCTTGAAGGATCCAATATCTGAAAATAGAACCTTCAAGATCAAACTAAATATGATGGAGCACAAGTACCTTTTGACTGCAGCTAGTAGAGATGAATGGATATGACATTATTGACTAGGTCATCTCAACTTCAAAGACATCAGAGATTTGAAAAGAAGAAATATGGTTTCAGGGTTGCCAAAAATTGATATTCCAAATATGGTATGTGAGGAATGTGTGCAGGCGAAGTAGCACAAGAACAACTTCAACAAAGATGTTGGAAGCAAGTCGAATGCTATTCTTGAAATCATATACTCATATGTATGTGGACCAATCTAGGTGGATTTAAATGGAGGTAACAAATACTTTGTTACATTCATAAATGATTGTAGTCGAAAATTATGGCGGACTTACCTGATCAAGAAGAAAAGTGAAGTGATTGAGGTATTTTCCAAGTTTAAATTTATGGTCGAAAGACAAAGTGGTCGAAAGCTCAAAATTTTGAGAACTGATGGTGGTGGAGAGTATGTGTCGAAAGACTTCGACAAATTATGTGAAAAAGAAGGGATTGTGTATGAGGTGGTGCCACCCTACACTCCACAACAGAATGGAACTGCAAAAAGAAAGAATTGAACCATCATGAATATGGTAAGAAGCATGTTGAAAGACAAACATTTACCTAAAGAATTTTGGGGTGAAGTTGTGTCAACTGCAACATATATCCTGAACAGATGTCCGATGAATAAGCTATAAGGAATTATTCTATAAGAATATTAGTCTGGTGTGAAACCTAGCTTAAGTTATCTTAAGCTATTTGGATCTATTGCACATAGACATGTGCCAGATCAGTTGAGAAGAAAACTTGATGACAAGTCGAGTCCGATGATCCTTGTAGGTTATTCTTCGACAGAAGGTTATAAGTTGTTCGACCCTGTGAACATGCAAATAGTGATCATCATGGATGTGATCATAGATGAGATTAAAGAATGAGATTGAACTGAAAATGTCAAGAAAGATTCAGTGAGAATCTTATTCGAAGAACCAGAAACTCAAGTTGAAAGAGAAGTTCGACAAGAGGAAGTTAGAGATCAACCAGGACCAAGAAAAGTTCAGAGAACAAGACACGTGCTGTAAGGTTGCAATATTGTGTTATTACATCAGATGATGTTTTCAATAATGAAGGTGAGCTGGTACAATATGCTTTCTATGCAGATGTTGAACCTACCAATTCAACTAAAGCATTGAAATATTCGAAGTGGGTGAAAGCAATGAATAAAGAAGTGAAGTCCATCGAAGACAACAATACTTGGTCACTTGTCAAATTGCCTCAAGGAAAGAAGGAAATCGATGTTAAGTGGGTATACAAGGTGAACTTGAATCCCAAAGGGGAAGTAACTCGAGACAAGGCAAGGCTTGTGGCAAAAATATTTCTTCAGAAAGAAGGAATTGACTTTGATGAGGTTTTTGCACCTGTTTCTATAATCGAAACAATCAGGTTGGTTGTTGGTCTAGCAGAAATGAAAAGTTGACACATATGTCAGATGAACGTGAAATATACATTCTTAAATGGACCCTTCGACGAAGAAGTCTATGTTGCACAATCAACTGGATTTATGAAGCATGGAGAAGAGAGAAAGGTGTACGGGATTCTTAAAGCCCTGTATGGATTGAAATAAGCTCCAAGAGCTTGGAATAAGAAAATTGATAGTTTCCTAAGAGAGAAGGAATTTTTGAAGTTCACAACTTAACATGGAGTATATGTAAGAAGAAGCAATAGTGATTTCAAAGGTGATCTCAACAAGGAATTTGAAATGTTAGATCTAGGCAACATTTCATATTTCCTTGGCATCAAATTCTACAAGAGTAGTAGAGATTTGATGATGCATCAAAGAAGATATGCAGAAGAAATTTTCAAGAGATTTGAGATGGAAGAATGCAACTCGACTTCAATCCCTGCTGAACCAAGGTTGCAACTGTCAAAAGACTCAGATGGAGATGATGTCGACCCAACCCAATATAGAAGACTTATTGGATCATTAAAATACCTTTGTCATACGAGGCCTGACTTAGCATACCGTATATGTATGGTAAGTAGATTCATGTAGAAGCCAAAGGCATCACACCTAGCAGCGACGAAGAGGATACTAAGGTATCTGAAAGGAACTCTCGACTACAGCATTATGTTTCCCGCATCTGATAAAGGAAAATAATGCAAGTTAGTGGAGTACACTGATTCAAGTTGGTGTAGTGATGCTAAGGATCGAAAATCTACTGCATGATATGTGTTTATGCTAAGTGGTGCACCAGTTGCTTGGAGTTCGAGAAAGGAACAAGTAGTGACATTATCATCGTGCGAAGCAGAGTAGATAGTTGTTTCTCTTTGTACATTTCAAGCAACATGGATGGTGAACTTGGTCGAAGAAATCACAGGAAAAGATCATGGAGCAATTACCATGAAGATCGAGAATATGTCAGTTATCAATCTGGCGAATAACCCGATAGCACATGGTCAAAGCAAGCACATCAAAATGAAGGGTGTGCAGGTCGAAGTATTTGGAAGACTAAGAGCTATGATGAATATAGATAGCTTAGACACAATGAATTAGGTGGTGTGTTGAAAGTGTAATTCTTTGTGTCGAAGCAACATGTTGCTTGACACAAGGTGTATCGAAACTTAGTCTTGTGTAAGTGTGTCGAGTTGTGTCGGAACAGTTGCTTCACACAGATTTGATTTAGGTCTAAAATAGTTATTTTGGGCTTTTATAGTTTTAGACTTTGGTTTAGGGAGCAAACAAGCTCAGTTATAAATAGAGAGAGTAGCTCCTATTTTTGTAATCAACTCAATACATTGAATATTCACAGAATTTGCAGTTGCAAGTGAATAAGAAATGTTTCCACAGTTTGTGGGTAGAGAAACTTTGCAGAAACCTTAAATCTCTTTTCTTCTTTAATTTTCTTTTCTTTTCATTGTCATTGTGTGGTGATAATAATCTTATTCATCAAGATTGATAGAAACTCATCATAGATTTTAGTGGATTTTCAACAAAAATGACGGTGAAGAGTATGGGTTTACGAAGACAAAGAAGAATGATGGATGAGGAGATGATTCAGTAAAAACATATTTGAACTTGAGAAGATGATTTGACCAACATAGAATGTGATTCACGGAATTTAGATTTTCATTTAGAATAAGCAATTTAAATTTCTATTTGAGATATTAATTTGTGCAATTTAGAATGGGTGGTCTTTATGAATTTAGTTTCACATGCATTCTGTTTTTCTAATTGTTCTGAGTTAACGTGTTTCTGTTCTGGATTAAATATGTTTCTGAGTTAACATCTTGACGCTAATTTTTATTTAAATCTAGTATAAGTTCTGCACATTTTATGTATTGAAAATACTCTATCATTCAAGCATAAGTTAACTTGTATTCAAAGCATATGATTTAAATCAAATGTTAAAAGCCAACATTTTCTATTGAAAAGGTATGAACATAATACTGTTTTTTTTAATTCTTGCTATTTATTAATTTTTGAGTTTGACTCTTAACTTGAGTTGTAAATCTATGGGAAAGAGGTGGTAAAATTTTCATGAAATCTAAATTTATAAGTTTATGAATTGAACAAGATTCAAGCAAAGAATAAATATGAATTTGGGTGTTGAAGATGATGAAGAATAATAAGATATTAACCCATTTAAAATAAAGGGGTTGAAGAAGAGAGATGAGTTTGAGATTAAACAAGAGTGATAAATATGGGGTTGGTGTTGATGATGAGGGGACTTTTTTTTAATTTCAACAATAATGGCATACGAGATTTCCAAACGTAAAGAATATTTAATTGCAATAATAACCAACACATGCCTTAAAAGTTTTAATAAAAATATTTTTAGAGACTATAATTTTTGATTTTTTTTGGTTATTTAAATTCTAATAAGTAAAATTATTTTTTTAAGTTATTAAAAATTAAATTTAATGAATTGTATTATTTTAATTAACATTATTTTATAAATTTATAAAATTTAGGAAAGGGGACCACGACCATGACACGTCATTGCCATGTCATAGGTTTGGTTGCCAAGGGGACCGTCAAAGAAACATAGAATATGGGACCGTCGAAAAAACAGAATATGATAAAGATGGACTAAATAGCTGTTTTTTTTTTTTAGGCGAACTAAAAAGTTAGGAAAATTATAATAGGAAGACTAAATCTGTATTTAAGCCTAAATAAAAATTATCTACTCACAATTCTATACAAACTAAAACTACGGGACATTTTAGAAGACATGAATAAAGAACTACAAAGAAAACATGAGCACTACTACAACACAACAGAACTTCCTTGATTGGAATACCAGTCATCTCTCAGCATAAAAAGGATGCTAAGCATGGATCTGTTCGATGAGGAAGACCGGTTCGAGCTCCCAAAGCTCTACACTTGGCAGCTGCCTGCAGTTATCGCATTGAAATGAGTAAAAAAAAAAACTCCAACATTATATTTTCTTACTTTTGTTTGAAATGTCACTGTAATATGAATGGATTTGTCACGAGCAACTTACCACTTTTGCAGCAAAGGGTAACATTATCTCCGGTACCATGTTTGAGCAGATGGCTATAAATAAAACAAGTCAGCAAAATCAATTACTCTGAAAATAAAAAATACAAAAAGAAACTTCCAAAAAATTGTAAACAATGCAGAGAGGGCAAGTGTGTCATTCATGTGATTTCACAACTATTCTGAGAGGATTTAGTTTGAGCTATTGGTTTTCTATACTGTTACTCCAAGCCTGCTCTGTGACTAGATACATATAGGAGAGCATCTTCTCGCAACCATGCAAAAGAGCCAAACAAATGTGTCGAACCATTGAGATTTTGAGATATAGTTCTACTTCGGTTATATTCCAACCACCTGATAACCATGTAGCTCGAAAAAAGAGAGCAAACTTACTCTGCATGGGACTCTAAGTAAGAAAATAATGTTGAATAGATACTACAGCAAATATTCTGGAACAAATAAGGTTGCATTGCATGTCTACTTGATTGAGATTTTCATAGAGGAAAATGTTGGATGGAGGACCAGTTTAAAACCTCAGGAAACTAGCAGATATGTGAAAACAATACAAGCTTAGACCTAGACAAATAATCGTGAAAGGAATCCCCAGAAAATTTTCCCAATGAGGGATTAAATCGACATTTCTTTTTTGGTTCAGGCAAGGGCTGCATCACTACCCACTACTAGGATGAGCCCATCCAAAGGGACCAAAGGGGTGAAGTCTATGTACACCACATCATGGAGATGTTTTTGTTTCTTTTTGTGACTATTGTAAATGGACACAAGTAAACAAACCAAAAATGAATACTCAGGTGAAGTCTCAAGTAACAAGCTTAGAAAAAGAAAGAAAAAATCAGGTCAGTGGCTACACCTACCATACATAATCGCTCCAATAAATGCATCTCCGGCACCAGTTGTATCAATAAGCTCAGAATCTGGTATCTTCTCTGCTGTTCCAATAAAGAATCTCCCACAAACTGTGCCAATTCCATTTGATCTGAACTTTCTCACCGCCTGAGAAAACGATAAGAGGAGAAAATCTATTTTTTAAGAACTTATCATGATTATCTATTTGACAAAGAATTGAACTAATCTAGGTCTATCTATGATGTATATAAAATCCAGTACAGAAACCGAAGTTGTTGTCCCCCAACTTATGTTAGCAATTTGATGTCAAATTTGAGCACGCAGACAAATGTAAATTTTATACAAAGTTATCATTTCTTAATCAATCCGCATATTACTTATTTAATTTAAATGAATTGAAACACAAAATTGAATCCCAACAAATGTGGTATAGATTTAGATTCTTGATTGATATTATGATCATTAAAAGATGTTTCACTCAATTGCTTTAACTTATATATTGATATGATTTTTGGTGTCAATTGACAATGACACATATAGCTGACCCCAAGATAAAATAGATTGCCATTGATCAGTTGATGTAATATTGACAAATGTCAGTAACAAAACTGAACAATAATACTTTTCACACACCAATGTAGTGATATTCCTTCCCATTTTACTCATGCTTATGAACCAAAAAAACTTAATTTGCAAGACACACACATATACTGGTATTTAAGCATGTGGTTTTACCTCCATAATTGCTTTTGCATGGCCTGTAATTCCATTCTAAACAGAAACCTAGTGACAGAATTTGACAAGATTCTTTTGAATTAGCCATATAATTCTCCTCATTTAGGCCCGTCCCATTTAAGCCCGTCCAAAAGTGGGTCGGGGTGGGCCAACGTAGGGGTTCGAGCTCAAAAGTCAAGCCCATCCCATTTACTAACGAGTTGGCGGGCCGGCCTACCAATTTTTTATTTTTTTAATTTTACAATTTGATTTAATACATAATTTAGAAATTTTTTAATTATTACCAAATAGTATAAAGAAATTTTTTTAACAACGCATAATAGAACTTCAAGATGTCTTAGGTCTAAACAATTCAAAAAATTTAATAAATAAAGACCAATTACAACAAAAAAACAAAATAAACTCAAGCACAATAAAGAATATCAAAATAAATAAACAATACATATCATCCTAATCTTATTTAAAAACTAACTACTAAAAGAACCCAATTTAGAATTTACACAAAACCAACAATGATAACAATAACATTACATAAAACATTACAATGCATAAATAGTAATGCGTAAAATATCAACACCGAACTTTCTCACTATTTACATTATATAGACTCTTATATTGACCGATTCTTTAATAGTTATATCCTAAATTTATCACATGTATACACTAATCAAATCCTTCTTTTTCATAACATCAACATCTATTTCTAAAGAAAATATATGAGCTAATATATTGAAAACTTAGTAATTATGCATGTCATATATTTGTTCTTTTATTTTAATCATTTTCAATCAACGCATGTATTAGAAAGTTATAGAAAGAACGTTACAATTATAATTCAATTTGTCTGTATAATAATTTATAATACAATCCTAAGAGATAAGTGTTGTTTTTATAATTAAAGTTGTTTTAATTCTTAATAAAAAGAGTAAAAGTTTTAACAAAAAGTCCGCGGGAAAAACCCGCCCCGCCCCGCCTCGGCTCGCTTTTTAAGCGGGTTAGGCGGGGCGGACCAACTTAACGTGTCGAGTCAAAAACCTCAGCCCAGCCCGCCAAAAATAGTAGATCAAACGGACCAATCCGGTGGGCCCAACCCGTTTTGCCACCCCTATATATATATATATATATATATATATATATATATATATATATATATATATATATATATATATATATATATATATATATATATATATATATATATATATATATATATATATATATATATATATATATATATATATATATATATATATATATATATATATATATATATATATATATATATATATCCACATTAAAATAAAAGGTGTACAAGATATAGGTTCATCAATATTTTACCGATGATATACAGGTTGGATTAGCCAAGCTATCATCTTTCTCTTTATACAAGAGTTCTAGAAAGCTCTCTACATTCATTTCTTCCACACCGACATCATCTGTCCACAAGAGCATTAAACTTGTAAGTTATATTTGCTCAAAGAAAAGAGTGACTCAAAGCAATGATGCTTTAGAATACTCTACTCCTTCAAGAAGTAAAATTAGAAAAGTGAAATGAAAAAGCCATTTGAGTGTTAACCATTTGTACTTCTTTCCAACATTAGACAACCATCTTCACCGAGAGTCACAATCACAAACTTGATATTTGGCAATCTTATAAGCATGGAAACCAACGCACTAGGGATAGACGGTGCCTGTGTCCAAGCCTAACACAATACAAACCAAATCCCAAATGAACACGAAGAAAGACTAATCATAGACAGAAGTATGTACATTTGGACGTATGTAATTAGAGATGCACCCTACCTAAAAACCAATTCAATCTAACCATGACATAATAAAAGAGTTAAAAAGTAAATTTATAATGATAATTGTCAAAATTGAGGAAACTTCTTTTTTGTTTGGGGGTGCTGAAATTCTGACAACACCATGAAGGATTGAAAATTGAATTAAATGTCTCCCTTTAATGAAACCCGATAAGATAAACATTTTCTAACAATCCTTACTATCAACATACTAATGAATCCATACTCATGTAGTTCCAAATCATGGAAAAATGCATGTAAGCCCCTTATTACCAGTGGAAACTTTGCTGAACATACAACAAAATCAGCAAGCTTCAATAGCTCATCCAACCCTTCCCTTGGTGATTCTGCCTCAGCTAAAATAGGAATATTATTGCGGGCTGCCTGTAGAAGGAAGTCAAATTCTAAAGATTAAACCAGAACAGACAAGGAAATAGGTTCACAGCCCACTATTGAAAAAGAGCATTACATGTTCAAAATCCATGGACAAATTAAAAAATTGCATTTAAAAATTACAAATGAATGAAAGATGAAGGGACTAGGTTCCCCTCATTGGAGCTGAATTCAACTTGGTAGACCTAGGTTTCAGCCCATCAGATTTAGGTTCACTCACCTCGTTGACCTTTTGGGTTCATTGCAAACTCGCAACAATGGATTTGTTCATGTTTCCTGATGTATGACTTTGTTTACTCTAGGAACTACGGTGGGGTTGGGACTCAATTCAATGGAGTGTCACTTGCCTCCTCTGTATTTTTGTTCACATCTGGGAGAAAATAGCAATTATGTTGTACGAGTTTTTGTGAGTCTACATGAGTTGACACAGAAAGGATATTGTAAGCAAGAAAATTTGATTTTGATGCCTAGAAACATAAGTGTAGTAGGTATTCTTTGAATTATAATATTATAGTTCGCATACACCAAGTTGGGAAACAAAAAGAAACCTAGCCTACAAGACAAATCTAAACCCAACAAGTAAGCTTTATGCCTGACCTCTTTGTCTTGTTGAGTAATTTTGAAATGAACCAACAACTAAAAGTAGTAACTTATAGCTTACTAGTATGTGTGCCTTAAAAAGTCATCCAGCGATAATGGAAAAGGTGATGATTACCTCTCGTCCAACAAATAGAGCAGTTTCGATTGACATTCCATCAAAATAAACTAATCTTGCTCCATCAAATGCAGATAACAACATTGACTGAGACAAATCATCAGGCATTAAGGGAGGATCTCCAGGTGTGTAAATACTTGTGCGAGTTTTTCTGAGTGTATAGCTTAGAATTAGTTGAGTCAATTAAAGTATTGAAATCCTAGATACTAATCCGTGGTGGGAAGTAAAGAGTTAAAAATAGAAACAAATGCTTACGTTTGAGTGTCTACAAGTACATATGAAAATGTTGAACTGCCACCCTTGGATACCTGAAAAAAGAAAACAATAAACTCTCAACTCAGAAAGTTATAACTAATTAGGAAAGAAGTATAGACACAGGCCGAATCTTACAACGATAAAGGAAGTATCAACACCATCAGCTTCAAGTTCCTCCAATATGCTCTTTCCTTGAGCATCATCAGCAACCTAATTGAAAAAAGATACACAAACAAACAACTCAATCAGATTCATCAGATCAGAAAAAACTTAACAAAATTAAAAATAAAAAAAAAAACCTTGGAAATAAGCTTTGGTTTCAATCCGAGTCGAGCCGCACATGTTAAAGCATTAGCAGCATTTCCACCTCCTTGCACCTTGGAGGAGGTTGATCGGATCTTATCGTCCGGTTTCGGATATCCATCGACGGTAGCTAAGAAATCCACCGCCGTCATTCCGCATCCGATCTGCACACAAAAGGAAAGCTATATAACTACACAGGCGAGCACGGAAAGATAGAGATATAGAGAGAAGAGGAAACGAACGATGATTTGGTTTTGGGGAAGAGGAGGAACGGCGTGGGATCGGAATGTGTGAGAGTATAGTGCGTTAGAATGGAGGCGGGGTGGAAATTGAGGAAAAGGGGATGAATGTGTGTGGAAGACGGTGGCGTTGAATGGTTTCGAAATGCAAGTCATCGGAGATTCTACGGTTGGTAGACGCAGTTCTGTTCTGGCTTCGACACTGGAAGGTGATGGAACAAAACCTCTAAAATTGAAGATTCTTTATAAAAAGATATTATTTACTAGAGATTAAAAATATATTTTTAATCTAGTTCTGTCAGATTGTTACTCACTACCTTGTTTAGTGAATTCCTCTACAAAGATTCTCAACTATAGAATTTTATGGGACATCGTCTCCCTCTACATAAATTGACACACTAGTTATGAGTTGTTGGTGCATGTATTATGCTTGTTTTTGTATATTACTTTTTCATTGGAGATCATGTCTCTACTACATATTATATTTTCGTTATCGTCATCTCATAGGTGGTAGTTAGCTTCATGTGCACTTCTTTGATTTTGGATTATGCTTATTCTTGCCTTGATCAATTATGTGTACATACGCTGCAAAATCGAAAATTCTAAGAGTGGAGAGTTTTATCTCTTTTCTGCTCCATACCTTTTCCAGTGTTCTAGACTCTAATGATACTGATGGACCTTAGTTAATTAATTAAGTAAGATGAAGTATTGACTATCTCTGTCCAAAACTGCTTTGGTAAATCTGAATGCACATGCAAGCTTTTGGATCTTGGATCTTTCAGTCAATATTTGATTCTTACGCTCAGGCACACCACTGTGTTGAGGCCTAACCGACACAATCATCTCCATTCTAATTATGTGTTTATATAATAACTTCTTAAGTCTAGTGTCTTCATATTCACCACCATTGTCATTTCTAAGATTTTTTATGTTCACTCTTGTCTCATTTTCTACCATGACTTTCCACATCTTAAAAGTCTAAAATACTTCAGTCTTATATTTCAAAAAGCATACCCATACCTTTCTGGAGTGCTCATCAATAAAAGTCACAAATTCTTTCCACCAATGGATGAGACATTTGTTAGATCTCAAACATCAGAGTGAATAAGCTCAAGCTTCTCTTTCTTCGGGGTTCTTCCACTTGACTAAAAATAGACTTTTTCTACTTTTTAAGTATATAGTCTTCACACATGTCAAGTTATATTGATTGAAGACTTGGTAGTTTTCCTTTTGAATGCACAACTTTCATCCCTTTTTTACTCATATATATGGCCTAATCTCTGGTGTTATAGGTTGGAAATTTCATTTGTTGCATCTGCAATCAAATTGCATGCTTCTGTTGTCTTGTAAAGAGTTCCACTTTTCCTACCGCGAACAATCGTCATTGCACCCTTTAAAATTTTCTAATCATCACCATGGAATATTATTGTGTAGCCATCACTAGCCAATTGGCCTACAAAGATTAAGTTCTTTGTCAGCTCAGGAATACGTATGGCATTTTTCCATTCCCTCATACACCCATTTAATAATATTTACTCCATTTTTGCCCACAATATCACAAGATTGTTCATTACCAAGGTCAACTTTATCGAGGTTTTCAGAGACATAATTCTTAAAGAATTCTTTTTGGGAAGTAGTGTGGACGGATTCTCTAGAGTCTAACACCCAAGATTCTTCCTTATTCTCCAAAGAACATACTAAAGCATCACTTTTTCCTGAGGTTGAAGCAACATTTGCTTCATCTTTTTCCTCTTGGTTCTTTAGTGGGACTCTACACTTATTTTTATAATGCCCTTTACTTCCATGATTCCAACATTTTATAGTTTTCAAATTGTGGAAACTACGATGATTTTTAGATTTGGATCGTCGGGTATTTGATTTACCACATCCATATCTATTGGTTTAATTTCTTCCTCTTACCTTTATATGAAATTCTGAAGAGGAAGATGATTCATTGAACTCTCTCCGTTGGATCTCTTCACTGAGAACCAAATCATGAACATCATCAAATTTCATCTTTCTACTTCTCGACAAGATACTCACAGCCATGATAGTAGCACTCCAACTTAATGAAGAAGTGGTTGTTGAAGAGAAGGAATTGGAGAAAAGCTGATGAGATAGAGGCTAACATTGATGAAGATATGCAGGAAAATGCAAGCATGACTGAGGACGACTATGAGAAGGAAGATAGTGCTGAAAAAGATAATGTTGAGGATGAGGTTTTGAACATGGATGACAAGGAGGCTGATAAAAAAGATGGTGAGGGTGAAAATGAGGTTGAGGAAGAGGAAGAGGTATATGAAGAAGAAGAGGAAGATTCGTCAGATAACTTACACAAATTAGAGCCATCTGATGAGTCTGGGGAAGAGACAAGTGTTGACGTGACCTCAGTGGTCACTCTTGAAAAGAAGAAGAAGTCTGAAAAGTTGAGCACTCTACACCCATCACCGAAGAAGCCCATGTCCCCTTCCAAGGCCATGTCACCAAGAAATCCCAAGCCCAAGTCTCCTCCATAAAAGTCTCAGTCAAGTCAGCCCAGGTGCAGACAACTGTCTCGACGGAAATTATCCTTAAGGCACCACAAACTACTGAGAAGTCAACCATGCCAGAGCCTTCCCAGAAGGAGGCTTGAAAGAGAAACATGTTAAAAGCCTAGCTGGTAAGCATAAAGGAAACCACTAGTGCGCCTTATCCCATCTGCTGATATTGAGAATAATATCCTTACTTTAAGTCTGGGGGAGTGCTTGCTTGTGTCGTGATTCTGACCATCAACCCACCAATATCATACATATCATATCATATCTGCTTTACTTTTGATTAAGTTCTCCTGATTAAATATTTGCTAGTTTTTTTTTTGTTGTTGTTGTTGGCTGCTTGCAGCCATTTGTTTTTCAATTAACGAAACTAATTTCTACTTTTGGTTTATTAGTTTGTTTTATTTCATTTATTTGCTACAAAAACATGATAAAAACATAGGAACAAACCGATTGTAACTCCCATAAGGACAAATAACTCTAGAGAACTTAGGAAAAATCTATTGGGACTGTGACAATATTGAAAACAAGGTCTTGATACTAATCAATTGCATCTTTTTGTGTTTTTTATAACTCCTGTTGTGACTCAAGTAGTCAGAAAAGTAGACAGCCTCTTTTTAAATTTGAATTATTTTTTAATATGGAATAAGAGCTCATTGTAGGGTTTAGTTAGGGTGGATAACATTGTTGTTTAAGACTTGAGTACTGTTTACCGTGGGAATTGGTAAACAACCGTTGATCTTCCAAAAGGTTACTTATTTGGTGACTCGCAGGATCGATCAGATTGATCCTAAGACATGGTTGATTTTGGGGCTTTGACTAAGTTTGATAATGGTTAAATGACAAGAAAATAAAGAAGCTTTATGTAAATTGCATGAAGAAGAGAACTGGATAAAATAAAGAAAGGCTTGAAATGAAATGCTTCGACTGGGAAAGTAAAGAAGAAAGCAAGTAAAGTTTCTGGAAAATAAATGACTTTGATTAATTAAAGTGGTGTTTCACACATACATTCTCAACAATTCTTTCTCTCACGTTGGGTACTCGAATCTATATGAGTAACTTGTATATAATTGTGAACACACGCGAAAAACTGCGTGAACTACTAATATTTATACTAAATACATCCCAAGTAACCGTCGGGCAGTTACGCTGCTTCGAGATGACTCCACTTGGCACGTTCACAGCGTTCGACGCTCCAGATCCTGGCACGTTGCACTTGGTAACCGCTGGGAACCGTTTTCCCTCCAAACGTTTGAATCTCAAACCGTTCCACTCTGAGCAATCGAACACCTTCGTCGAGAAGCACCTTCGACGTCGAAGGCAACAAGATTCTTCCTTGGAAGAATTTCTCTAAGTACATTGCCATCTTCTGATGAGCATTTCGACAGACCCAGCTGGTCGAAACCATCCTTCAGCTTTAATGGCTGATATTAATAAAACAAGGGTGTCGAATTTAGGAGCCAACAAATTACCCCCCAAGAATGCCTTATTTCGACTCTGAAAAGAAAAGGGCATTCTTTGAGATTCCATTCGACACCTGTCTTTTCATTCTTAGCCACAAATTAAACTGTGCACTTTTTGTCTTCTACCAACCACTGACAATCCCAAGAAAAAGCCATCATTTCATCCGTACCTAAGACGTCACCTCAGTACGGCGTGCAGCGTGTCCAATGTCTTTTCACAAATTGTCATCATGACAATTTCCTAAAAACGAGGGCGCACGCTGCACCTTTTCATTCCTGCAGAACGACTATATCAACGGGGGGACGCCACGTGTCCCACTATCTTCTGCAACATTAAATGGCCTCGAATTTGGGGATTCCCCAACCACTATAAATAGCGCCAAGTACCCATTGTGGGACTTTTTCACGCTATCCTGCCTTCAAACTTCCTTGAACACAAAATCTCTGCAAACTTTGCAAACACCTTGTTCTTCACTTCATCTTCAACCTTAACATCAACAATGGCCTCAGGTTCTTCTACCGCTCCTAGTTATAACATCCCTTCCAGAAATGCCAAACCCAAGATCTTCTCAACTGTCCCCATAGTTACCCCTACAGGCCAACAAAGGGTTCCTGAACCCCTAGAAACTGCTGAACGTGAAGCTTATTCACACCAACTCATGATTCCGGTTGGATACTCCAACCAAATCTTTGCCATGTCTGGCCCGCTAACCCCATGCATCGATGAAGCCATGAAGATCAAAAGCTTCTTTCCAGTGCTTGAAAAGCTCAAACCTGTTGGATGCTCTAAAAAAGATGCAGAGGATAACGAAGATCCCGTTAAGGAGAAAATTGATATTCGCTTCTTCAATAGGGGTGTTAGGGCTTTCAGGTCTAGCCCTAGCCTCACTCCTGACTACAGTGCTTGGCTGGAAAAAATGGAAAAAAGCCAGGCTTCGATCTGGAAGGACCTGGGGATATTCGACCTAGTTATGTTGTCGAAGACGGGTCTCAACTATTCCCCTGAGATGTTGATAGCCTCCTTACTTTTCTGGGATTACATTCATTTCACCTTCCACCTTCCTTGTGAAATGCTGACACCCACGCTTTTCGACGTGGCTGCCATCACTGGCCTTCGACCCACTGGGGATTATTTTGACCCAGAGGAAATGTCGGAGGA